GGTGCTTATTTACAGTCTAACACGTATTTTAGGATTTTTTTCATTAAATTCCTGTTTAAACTTCATTAAATAATACAATTTTGTACAAATAATTGAATGTTATGCTACTTTTTACAAAAATAAAATCTGAAATCGAATAAAAGATATATTCTCTATATTTTTTTAATTCACAAATGTGATTTTGCTCTCATGATAAGATCAAAATGGCCACGGCAGGTAACGGGTTAAGTATTAACTTTCTATACACATACACATACATATAGGCTTTTTTAGGCTTTGGCTAGTGGTTCTTACTTTTCTCAATAAACATTTTATACTATCCCTACATAAAATCAGGTGACAAGTATTATAATTTATAGATGTTTTGAAATTTTCTGCAACACAAACTTATGAGATTGAAGCTTCTTGTTTTCCACTGCAGGCCAACTATGTGTGTAATAAAAACTGGACATTAGTTACACTATTCTAAAGAAACTGAACTTCTATAAAACTTCTTTCCAGACAATATTTTATTTTTCATGAAACATTTACAGTCATCATATAATACTTAGCAGCTTTCTGAGTTAAAGATTTCAATGTTGAAGTTATCAGTGATTCCAAAATGTTATTTTTTTGTACTTTTTAAACAAAACTGAATATAAAGCTTCATTTACTAAAGCAAGATTATGTAAAAAACAGTACTAAATATTACTATCTGTGAGGATATTATGGCTTTGCTACTTTTATGCAAGCATTAACTTTTCAGTTTATCATTGGTTTTGTTTTATATGAAAATACTCATTTTCAAACTTTGTATTTATATGAAAAAGAAGTTTTAATTTTGGGTAAGCTAATGTTCTATATACCTTGCTGCTCTTAACAGGTCTGAACTTTTCAATTTTCTAGATAACTAATTTTTTTATTTGTTTTATCTGTTTTCACAACTTTTAAGGCCATTACATGAATAATGAATACAAATATCAAATAATTTCTCAAACAGTTTCCACTTAAAAAATGAACAGAAAAGAAAATGTGATAAACTTTTTACTGCATACTCACATATTCAATTTCATATTTCTAAAGATACAATAACAGAACACTTTAAGAGATCAATAACAAAAAAATTAGAAATTAAAACTGTAAATTCCACACCTGTTCCAGATAAAAATACAAAACAGATCTGGCCCAATTGTGGTATTGGACACATCTTGTCTTAATCCCGACTTGATCTATATTAAAGTGGGTACTGAGCAATGGCAGGTGGTTATAACACTTTCTGTACTCCCCCATTCAATTCAGGTTTCATATAAGTATTCTCTGTATGGCACGCAGGCCATTTGTCAGTATCCAATGACACTAAGCATAATTAATGTGTGTTTAGTTCCACATGTTATGTGGCCATTTTTTTCTCCTTTTTGGTGTGTTTTGCCTCCGTTTTTTATTAATATGTACAAGTATTATGAAATATGACAGGAACATGGAGAACTTACAAAATAAGTGATAGGGCTAGAAACTAACATCAGTAGGTAAAACATGTCACACTAGAGC